TTCTTTTGACCTTAGACATATGCGTCGTCTGATTTGCGCTTTAGGATAGTTGTACTATACACATCTTTGTTTGAGTATTTTATGATCGTCTAGCGCACATTTGTGTTCCAATTTTTCTCTTCTTGACATTCGATTTCCTACATCACTTGCTTCATCTGTCTCAACTTGTCTGGTTTATGTCTTGCCTTGATTATTCCTCATAGGCTTCGTCTGATATTTTAGTGTCTCATTCTGATGATAGTTCTCTTCCGTCTGTGAGCAGACTTCGTCTTTATGCTTGATTGCTTATCATCTGATTCTTTCATCTGGTTTGTATAATCTTTATGAATTGTGACATTTAATGCTTCTGACTTAGCATTTAATGTTTGCTTGTTGAATCTGCACTTCTTGAGATCTTTTGTACTTTCTTGGTATTGTTGCTGTAGAGGTGTTATCTTTTCCTGGCTGGTAGGTGTACTTGCTCTGACACACGCTATTTTGATTTGTGGATAAGCGCTCTTCCATTTGTCTTATCTTCCTTCTTATACTTTAATGACTTCATATGTTCTTCTAAGAGTGTGGATGTTAGATAGTTTGTCTCATTGTGTCTTCAGTCGCAATCTAGCTTCCGTGATCTTCATCTGTGTATTCGAGTCTCCGTCTGATTGGCTGTTGTAGATACTTGACTCTGTCTATGGTGTTTTAACTTAGTTTTGCCCATCGTCCATGGTCTTGTATCATCTGAGGCTTCATTATTTTACTTCTTATGTTGGGCATGATTTGGTTTGATCGTTTGATCTCCTCATCTATCGTCTTGTTAGCTTTTTTCCTTCATCTTGGTTGTCGTGCTCTTGTCTTTTATTTCCTTTGTGTCTGGGTTTGTGGGTGTCTTCATCTGATGTAGTTCCTTCTTTTGCTTAGCCTTTATCTAATGCTTGACTCACATCTCCTTGATTCTATTCTTTATTCAGTAGTTTACCTGTACTTATATCTGAAACACTAACACATTTGTTAGTAATAACAATATGTATTATATTTGTCTCATTCAAAACCTTGCTGGGAATTGCTTCCGTCTTCGTCTGACTTAACACCAAGATCATCATTCCATATTTCAAACCACCATATGCAACCAAAAACTAGAACATCAAGGTTTATACTTCTCAATTCAACACCAAAGCCACCAATAAACAACATAGTAATCAACACATATAACACAAAATGATTAATATAAAAGGTTCTCTTACTCAATTACTCCAGAAAATCAAGGAAGAAGGGAAGAAAATTGAGAAAATTGCAAACTCTTGTATGTTGACTTCCCTGTGTAGGTTTCAACTCCTTAGCTTTGAATCTCTATACAAGCATAGCACAAACTATTCTAGAAAGACCCAAATGCTCTTGTGGTGTCAGAAGAAAAAAAGATCTCCTTTGACTACAAAGTCTATCTCTCTAAAACTTTTTTCTAAAACTCAGAGAAATGAGCTAATGCATTTCAAATTCTTCGAAAAATCTTACATACTTTCTCTTGTTTTTGGTCAACTTTGACCTCAATGCAAAACAATTATAAACAACTAAACTCTTAATAATTCCTTAATCCTTAGGGGTTTTAAAAACACCAAAAACATCACATCAACATAAGTCATATAACATGAAATATATGAAAAGCATACAACTCACAACATTGTGTTATAGAGTAAAGGAATGATAAGATGAATTTAGAGTAAAGGAATGATAAGATGAATTTAGATGGGTTTTGGAGACCCTAAATTGCAAGGTTCATGATTTTGTGAAGTGTAGGATCTACGATGGTATCAAGCGCACGTTTAATACATCAAGTGTGATAAGCACAGTTCTTAGGGATGGCAACGGGGCAGGTCGGGTACGGGTTTCATGATACCCGTCTCCGTCCCCGCGAGTAAAACCCATCCCCGTCCTCGTACCCGTACCCTTGGGTATATGATTTTCATCCCCATCCTCGTCCTCACGGGTATCAGGTATACCCGTACCCGTACCCGTCAATTTTTATTTTTTTTATTTTTTATAAAAAATATGATATTTTTAAAAAAAATTATTATATTATAATTATAATTAGGTTATTTCTCTATCTCACATTATAATAAATAATCACACATAAAAAATATTAAATTTTTTTAATATAATTAAATTAAAAGTGAGTATTAAATTAAAAATGGGAACGGGGACGGGTACTGGTACGGGGCGGGTAAGTACATACTCGTACCCGTACCCATACCTGATTTAATATATCGGGTTTTACCCGTACCCATACCGTACTCGGTCAAACCGGGTATTCCTCGTCAAAGTCGGGACGGGTTCGGGTATTACCTGTGGGTACGGGTATATTTGTTATCCCTAACAGTTCTCTATGTTGAGTGTGAAGAGGGTCACACTAGGCGCAAGAACCACAAAGAGGTCTTTGACAAATATTTGTAATGATAAAATAATAACCAATGCAATTAGCATAAATGTAAAGAAAAACTCGTTTATGAATTAAAAGAATTTTGTCATAATAGACTTTTCAATCTCTATGACTATTCCAACTTTTCAAGAGAATTTTTTAATCATTACCCCAAATGCTTTGACAATCACAAAATCAAAAGGCTAGTCATCGAAAAATATTAGATTGTAATTGTCTAAACCATTCTTTAGTTATAGACAATTATATGTTGCAATTTCTCAAGTTAAATCTAAATTTGGATTGAAGATTTTAGTATGTGATAAGTATAAAAAATATTAAAGACAATCACTAATGTTGTTTTCAAAGAGGTCTTCCAAAATCTATAACATGTACTATGTACTTAATCCAAAACTAACTATAATGTTATATTTAAATCTTGTTTGGTATTGACCTTTACCATTTTTAATATGAATTTAGTAAAAAAAATTAATTAACTTGCAGTGATTGTTTTCCATTTGAATATGCATCATGTCTAAACTTCTACTCTTATTTGAATTTTTCATGTAAGTTGTTTTAATAATCAATGTATTCAATTATTACAAGTTGTCATTGACTATATTAATATAACGATTAAATATATTTTTAGTCCTCAAATTTAAGATAAGTTTATTTTTAGTTCCTTAAATTTAAAATTGGTCTTTTTAGTCCCTATAATTTCAAAAAATCTTGTTTTAGTTCTTATACTCAAATTTTATTAGAGAATTTGTTAAATACTATTGCATAAAATCTACCTACTCGTGTTCCTATTAGTAAAAACATCATATTAAACTTAGTTGATACTGCATAATTATTTTAATCTATTTGTTTTATATATGTTATTGGTGACTCGAGGAACTAAAATAAGATTTTTAAAAATTATAAGGACTAAAAATAATAGTTTCAAATTTGAAGGATGAATAATAAATTTATCCTAAATTTAAAGATAAAAAATATATTTAAACTTTAATATAATATACATTTATAATGCATGTCAGTTTACCAAATTTAATATACCATTTATTGTCACATCTTTTGATAATTTTATTTTATTATTATTCATTTGTAAGATAAATATGTTGTCGTAGTACCAAAGTTGGACCTTGGAAGTTTTTTTTTATTTTTATTTATTTTTATTTTATGAATGTTATTTACTATATGAAGTTGCTTTTTTCATGTTAAATTTTCATGTATAGTTTTAGTTTTAGCCTTTTTTATTTATTGTTTATTTTTTAAACTTTCCCCCCCTTCCAATTTAGCTATATATTTAAGATTTTGTCGGTGTTGAGTTTTAATACTCAATTTTAGTCCTCTCCATTTTTTTTCCTCATTCAATATTTTAGATACTCAGTAGTGGCCCCTTTTGAGTTTCATACTTTATTTCAGTTTTGGGATACTTTATTTTATATAACCTCAATTGGTCCACTTTAATTGGGGTGTTCAATTTTCATGGATTGTTGGTCATTGTTATTTTGTATTTTTAATTTTGGTTTCTTTTACTCTTCTTCGTTTCATTGTGTTTTTTTCTTCTTCTTATTTTGTATATTTGATTGGTGTTTACAATTAATGGTCCTTCTTGGTTTTATTGTTCTTTGTAGAGTACTATATTTGAACTTCATTTATAACTACCTCTACTTAACATGATATCATGTTGTTTTAAAATAGACAAAATTGTTTTGTATTTTCTACTTCAAAAATGTTATTTTCTTACTCTTTTTTCCCATTAAACATAAATGTTTTAGAACAATATTTATTTCATAAGTTCACCAAGAAAATTAATATACAAACTAATTACGACATATGCATTGGTATAGATTACCTACTAGTATTCATTAAATTAAGTAAAAATTTTAAATTTAATAAAAAATAGACCAATGATTTACACATCTAGTTTTTAATTTAGATATTTAATTAAATTATAATTTTAGTCCTTTAATATTTTGTCAATTTATAATGTCGATAACTTTATTTTAAAATAAAAATACTTAATCTTCAACTTTTGAAATTTTGATCTTATCATCAATTTATTACTCATTAATCATTAAATGACATTGTTCGATGATGTCACCATTTAAATGATATAATATTTAATAAAGTGGTACAATATTTAATAACATAATATGTATGAAAAAATAAAAAAATAAAATAAAAAATATTTATTTATATATATTTTAATGATGTATTGATATTTATTTCATCAATAAATTTTATTTACATTTTTTCTATTTTTTTATTTCTAAATCTCATCACTTGAGTATAAATTAATATTAAAATTTAATGATTAATAAATATTAATTTAATAGAAATATTAAAATTTAATATTTTTAAAATTAAAGAGATTAAATATCTCTAATTTAAAATAAAAAGAATAAAATTGCAGACAAGAGAGAAAACGACAACTTAACATAAATATTTAGTCTATTAATAACTTTTAGTCCTTAAAAATAAAAAGTTATAATAATGGCTTGACCCATTTGAATTCATGGGCTCCCAAAGGCCCAGATGAGTGAGAAAATTTTGGGCCTGTAATTAAACTTACCCAACCCAATTTAAATATTTCTTATTGTAATGAACTTGGGTGAGAGACAGAGCGAGAGAGTGACAAACGCTGACACAAGTCATAGGTTTGTGACTTGTGAGATGTTGGTTAGTGTTTTTTGACAGTGTGAAACGAAGCATCAAACATGGCAATGGCAAGACGCATGATTACGAGGATGAGGAATACGGTTGGTGCTGTTCTTCTACCACACGCTCCATCAACAACTCATTCACACTCCTTCCATTTTTATAACCATTCTCTCTCTCCATCAAAATCCCATTTTTTCTCATACTCCTCTACCTTCCTTCGCTCCTTCTCTCACCATTTACCAGGTTCCCTCTCTCCGCCTTCATCTTCTGACTGCAAAAAAGTAATCTTTGTTGGCATATTAATGATGGGTCGGTGTAAATGAAGTAGTTGGTTTTGGTTTGAGGCTTGGAAGGATTACCTCGAAGATTTTAACCAATGTTTGTTTTTAGTTTAGAACAGTTACTTTGGTCTCGTGTGGCTTCTTTTGTCTGGCAGAAGTTGGAAATGCTAATTTCAATAAATTCTCTCTTACTAGCCCCCTAGATCTTATGTGGAATAGGCTTTCTATTGATATGGCATCCATTTGGAGCTGTTTTGTGCATGGTTTATGTTTCTGTTAAGGGAATCTCCTAAATAGTTATGAAGAAAAGAAACTGGAAAATGAAGCTTCTTTGCTTTTTTCTTTATTTACTTTAAGGCCTTTGTTCTGGAGGGTTTTCCATCCTCCTTTGATATTTACTAGCAACTCATTGGCTTAGATCCTATAGTAACACACAAACTGGTTATTTTTATAATTAGCTGTTCGCTTTTTTTTATTGTTCTGTTTTGTTTCACAAGATTTGATATCTATACCAGGTGTTTATGGTTTTTCTAGTTCGTTGATAGATGCCCCTAGCAGAAGAGTCCATGTGAAGTTATAGTTCTCTTTTTTTAGGAGTGTTTTTATGAGGCTATTATCTTAAGAGATTAGAGTATGTTGAATTTGCAGGTGAGAAAAGTGATGAAGGTGCAACCACGGATGGATGGGAAGAGGAAGATGAGACTGAACCTAAGGTAGTGTCTTCAACTCAAGTGTTCATTTCAATTACATAATGGATATAATTAAACATTGATTACATTTGGTGCTGTCTTTGTGTGTAGATTGGTGATGGGGGCGATGGTGGTGGAGTTGCCTTGCAAAATGTTCCTTGGGGTCAGCGAGCTCTCTCTATTGCTGAGGAGGTGCTTACACAGTTCAGTGAGGACATCAAACTATTTGCTTTTAAGACAACTCCTCGTGGATATGTTTATGTGAGATTGGACAAATTAACTGGCGAGTAAGGCTTCAACTTGTATCATATTCAACATCCGGAGAACGTGTTTACATTCTTTTAATTAGCTTATTTGAAGGAGGTGTGTTTGTGTGTGTTCCAAATAGAACACACTAATGGTGTTGATGTGTAACTAGTCAAATAATCTAACCCTTGGAAAGCTTGGAGGGGAATAACATAGCATCTCAAGCAGTGTGGGTATGATTGACTAATAATTGAAAGGGTCTCAAGAGAGTGAACACGTGTCTAGCTGAATAACAGCGAGAACAGTCTATCTTCTGTTCCCACTACAAAGGTGCAATACCTGGTAGTAGACTTCCTATCTTCTGTCAAACCTGCAATTAATATCTGTAAAAACTTCTACCTCTTTGCTGCAATTCTTCTTGAAGAACAGTCCTCTGCCCAGGGATCTCTTGAAATATATTTGTGCAGAAACTCTAGGTCAACTTCCTTTGGTGGATGAATGGGATGGCTCACTACACTAACATTCTAAAAACAAAGACAATGTTTGGTTGGGTCTATTGTGGATTGGTAGATTAATTTGCCAGACATCCTCTGATATTTCATATTTCTCTTTTTCAACTGAATTTCTGATGTCTTTAATTCTTTTCCCAGAGTCAATTAGTGTGTCACTTGGTTCACATGCAAGCATGCCAAACTGCCAGTCTTGATCAGGTTAGGATTATAGGATATCATTCATGTTCTTTTGTTAAGAAACACTGATCTCCCTTTTTGATCTAGCAATTTCCATCCCAAAATTATCACATTTGTCCCATATCTTTCACTTGAAATTTAGCAGCTAGGACCTTTTTCAATCTTTCTATGTCAATTTTATTATACTCAGTGAGGACCATGTCATCGACATATACAATTCGAATACCCTACTTCCCATCTTTGGATTGTTTGAAGAACAAGGTGTGGTCCGATTGACTTTGTTAGTATTACCCTTGACCCTTGAAAGTTGAAAAACTTTGCAAATCTATCAAACTGTGCTCTTGGTGACTGTTAGAAACCATATGGAGATTTTTTGAGTTCGCTTACCTCATTTTCTATGTTCTTCTGGTATTGCCATAGACACTTCTACTTCTAAATCCAAGAATGCATTCTTAATGTGTGTGGACAATTCAAATTGATTGCTAAAGATAGGAGTACCTTAATTGTATTCTGCTTAGCTACAAATGCAAATGTCTCTGTATAGTCAAGTCATGGATTTGTATGTACCCCTTTGTAAGTCTCATTATCATTGTATTTCAACCTGAAAACCCATCTGCTGTCAGCTTGTGTCGTCCCTCTCAGCAGATCCATCACCTGCTAATTTAACTTTTATCCAAGGTCCTTATCTCTTCTATTGCTGTGTCTTTCTGTGTAGAAACCTCCAACATGTCTTGAATAGTCTTTGGAATTTTTGTACGTAAGAGCAAATAATATTGTAGACAGGGAGGGCAATCCAAGACAGAATTTTAAGATAGGATGGAGTACGTGTCCAGGTTTCCTTTCTAAGAGCAATGGGTAAATCAATATCAGGTGACAGACTTATGGGAATTCATGAACACTTGGGCTATTACTGGTTCCAGCTCTCTTGCTTTCTTGAGTAAACAAGTGTCTTGGCATTTTGTACTTCTATTTCCCCGAGTTTAAATTGCCTGCTGTATATGGCATGTCAGGGTGAGATAGTGACACTTTTAGTGTTTTGAAGAGTTAGTATTTTTGACAGATATTAGTGTTTAGGATGGGTTTATAAGGAGGCATGTAGAGGTCAAAGACCAAGCGTCACTCAAATTTACCCCCTGAAGAGAGGAAATTTGGAAGCAGCAGTACTTTAAAGAAGATAACATCAGGGATTAACAAAGGTTATTGTAACTGTAGCCTTTTTTAGTGGGAAAATACAACGACAACAATCAGGCCTTTTTCCATTAGGTGGAGTTGGCTACATGGATCATAAGATGCGCTAATGTTCTGTTATAAATCATGTCTATAGACTAATTCTTTACCTAAAGTCCTTCTTAATCATCTCTTTATTGGGACTTCTACATGTCTTCTCCACATATATACTCAAACTAGAGATGCATCCAGAAATCTATGAAAGGTGTGTGGGGGGAGGAGGGATTTTTTTAATTATAAATTTAATTATAATAGTTAATACATCATATCGTTTATCTAAGTTGTGGATGTTATTCTTTTAAATCAATAAAATTTATCAACAACATAGAATATGTTTCAAATTTCAATCAATTTCTCAATATAAATAATTAAATAACAAGTTAAAAATTTATATTTCATCTTGTTATTAAGCTAATTTTTCACCATTTACAAAACTAGAACTGATCTCTCAATTATAATAGTTGAAAAAAAAGAGTCAATCTCTAACAAATTAAAGGATCAATAATATTTTCTTAGTATCTATATATTTTATCACAATTTATTTTTTCAAAGAGTAAGGGGAAAAGTGGGGACAAGGTCCCTACTTGCCGTAGTTGGATCTGTCACTTATTCAAACCACCCATGGTGAGATTCTACCATCTTCAACAATAGGTGCTACTGCAACTTTTTACCTTAAGCATTCATTTCTAATCCTATCTTGGCTAGTATGTCCACTTGTCCAATAACCAATGCAACAACCTCATCTTTGCTACATTGTTTTTATAAGTTATTTTTGAGTAGGAGAGTAACCAACATAAACACGTGATTGAGGGTCTAAGTTAAATGTAGTACAGCTAAAAACACCAAGGTGCAGAGAGATGAGGTAGGGAAAAATTGAAACTTTTTTGTGTTTCATAGGACAGTACATAGCTCGAAATTCTATTGATGAGGTATGTGGATATCAAATTCAATAGGAACACTCATTATGAACTTTCCAAAACATATATTTCATGAAAGTTGAATTCCCAAGAAAAATTATTTCCCACTTTTCTAATTTTCAAAATTTTAGGGTATTGATTAAATTTATTTGGTTGGAGACAGACTTTGGGAGGCTGATATCACTTCATTTTTTAGGATCCATTCTATTAAATTTGTATTCCATCCTTGCCGTACTGCTATAGCCAAGGTCTTAGCTTCCTTGTGCTCTAATCACTTACTATCTAACTTTACCCGATGCCACTTTTCCTCTTCGTTCCATTTTTCAGCTAAACTACTCTTATGGTCCTGATTTAGCTTCTTAGTGTTAAACATTTGTTTCTATTTGTGCATAGCATGTGCTAACAATGATTTGTGTAACATTTTATGAGCATGTTGTATTTGGCATGTAAAAGGACGTATTAGCCTATTAAGAACCTTAAAGATTATTTTATGAATCATGGTATATACCTCAAAGTTGATTACTCATTGGTGCATAATTTATTTGAGTTTATGGTGCCTTGTCTATTTGATACTTCGGAACTATACTAATTGTTTTATGTTCAACTTTCCAACATCCTTTTCAGATATGGGTGTCCAAGCGTGGAAGAGCTTGAATGCTATAATAAAGAGTACAAGAAAAGATTAGATGAAGTTGGAGCACTCGGGGAGATACCTGATGATTTGGCTCTAGAGGTAATACATGGCAACTATGTTCTATACTTTTGTTCCAATGGGATTTTATTTAGTAGTAAATGAATGTTCTTTTGAAGTGTATTTGGTGCTTAACAAAGCATAATTTTGCTCTGAAGGTTTCATCCCCAGGTGCTGAGAGGCTACTAAAAGTGCCAGATGATATTAGTCGATTCAAAGAAATGCCTATGAGAGTCTACTACACAGAAAATATGGAGTCCAATTGCCCAGAAAGGGATGGAGTTTTCTTGTTAGATTCTATAGAAAAAGATTCAGAGATTTGTGTGTGGAAGATGGCAAACGTTAAAGAGAATAGAGACCCCCTTAGAAAAGGCAGACCCTTAAGTCGTAAACAGAAGGATTGGAGATTAAAACTGCCATTTAACTTGCATAGAATGGTAACCCTTTACCTTGAATATTTGTAAAATTTAATGTTATTCTTTGATTCAGGAACATGGAATCTCTTTCTCCCCCTCTTCCCTCCCCTCTTTTGCCTTCTTATATTTTCCTAGTTACGATAACTAGATGTGAGATGTGGAAGTAGTTTGAGAAAAGGTAGTTTTAGTTGTGGGCTCAGTCCCGGTTTTTTTTTTCTTTCTGGTTTTCAAAATTTTAGATGCAATATGAATATAATTAGCTGTTCTTTGGACATATTTGTAGTCTAAGCGACTAAGCAAGAATTTCAAAGATGAAGCTCTAAATTAATTATTTGTAATATTTAAAAAGTGAAGCTTACCATAAGCATAAGTACATAGCTACAAGAATTTACTTTGAGATTCTGATGATGTTTACTCTTGCATTATGTTATTCATAAATGGAATAACATTTTCATTTCATATCAATTTTAGTGTCAACATCATCTGATTGCTTGGTTTGAAAGTTTGGGACTGAGGTCGTGACTGTGGTCTAAAAACCAATAATGCGTGTTGCTGTAAATCTCGAGGGTTTCGAATTAATATCTTAATTGTGGCTTGTTAGGCTTGACTAGGATTCCTCTCTCGCTCTCCTTTTCTGTAAGGGCTCATAGCTAATGTGTTGGGAGTTTGGACAATTGGTTGGAACATTTGTACTAGTTAGTTAGTAGAAGAGTTTAGTTAGTTAGAAGGGATTTGTCAAGATACTAAATGGAAGGATGATGTAAGGGAAGGCACATTCAGATGAATATCATTTGAGAATTGAGTATTGCTCTTTGTAAAAAAACCCTTTGTGAATGGGAAATTCTTGGATTAGATCTCTCTCCTATTTTTTGTCCATTTCATTCAAGGAAAGATCTCTATTACAAGAGTTTCTCCTTCACAAAAGATTTCTTCTTTCACATAGAGCAACATCACACCACGCCATGTAGGATATGAACCTATGACATCGAATTTTGGAGACCCGTGTTCTACTGAACTAAGCTAAGATCGCGTTATTTTCATAATTTTTTGGAGACGGCTTCCACTGAACTGAACCAAGAGCGCTATGTTTTCATACATGCACACATATCATGTACACGGGAAAGCACACATACAAAACACAAACACACAACACACACATACTAAACAGAGACACACACAGACACTGACATTGTCACACACACACAGACATAGGCGTGCACACACACACAACACACCGACTTTATGGAAAAGAGATATTCCATGAAAAGGAAAAGAAAAAATTCTGCTTGATACCTAAGTTATATTACTGCTTGTGACATCATAACATGACTACTGACAAGTATAATTACTCATGAACTTTTCATTTTTCTCATTTCCTTTACCATTTTATGGTTTTCTCTGTCATCTCTCAAGACAAGATTGTGAGCTACATGTTCATGATTGAAAAGCAATCAAACAATGCTTTTATTTCTTCTGCTTCATGGAGTGCATATTTTAATCATGTCATGGATGAGTTTGTTGGTTATGTTATTTCTCTTGGCATAATTGCTGACTAGTGGTCCTTTGTTTTCAACAGTAATGAATAGATTATAAGTAATGGGGTGCAAGCTGCAGGACCACATTCCTAGTGCTTGCTTTGTATTTTTATTCTCTTTCACTCTCATCATGTCATATATTATTATCCATCATGAAACTATGATCGTGGCCTGGGTAACGGTTATTGTAATGGTGATATTTGTAAATAATACAACATACTTGGAAGTTTGGTTTGTGTTTCTCATCATGTGTAATTTCAAATTTTAAAATGAATTAAACGTATCCTTTCAGGCGAGCCAGATAACCGTTTTATGTGATGGGCTTGTCTATTTCCCAAGTTTCAATGAAACTACCTTTAAATTAAACTATTCAAACAAGTTAATGCAGATGATTATGAACTTTTTAAGATAAAACTGAATCGTTGAACTTGAAGTCTTCAAATTTGTATGGAGGACCAGCTTTTACCTTTTTTCATAGGCAGGCAAAACATTGGTAAAATGAATTTTAATGGCTTAAATATTATATCATATCATCATAATCAGTCACTAGATGTAGGAGTATATCTTATGTTATAAGTGATCTTGTAATTGTAGGTTGTTTAGCTCTTCATTTTTTATATTATGGTGTATAATAATCACTCTGAGGTTAGAACTTATGACTTTATGCATACCACTCTAATCTCTCTCACTAAGTCTAATTCTGGTGGTTCTAGCCCTTTATCATTTTATGTGACACTTGTTCTACTCGTTTTCTTAAGTTTCTTGTGGATGGAAAGAGTATATTTATCATATAAACCAATGTATAACCAAAGTAGCATACTCAATCTATTTTATTTTATTTTAATATTTTTGTTGATTTGTATGATCTGTGCTGCCTTCCTATCATTTCCCTGCTAAATTCGTCAGCTGTAACCTTCCCTTAACCTTTTAGTCTCGGGAGAAATTGACATTCTCCAAGATAAACACATTTTGAGAATACCAACATACAATGCCTTTAGTTTCTGGATTGTGTTCATTCTTTTATTGTTCGGCCATGTGAGAACACAGTTGTCCGTGTACTTTTCTTTCTCATTATTCATTTCCCTATCTGTTGTATTACACTAAGATTGAGTAAATGTGTGTTTGGTTTAGTTTATTTTTGAAAAATAATCCCTTATATTTTCCCACTTCCAAAGACTTTTTTTTTTTTTGAATAAATTCTTATTTTTATATAAATAAGAATTATCAAACACGCGTTAAACTATCATATAACTGGATTTTGGGTCCATTAATCAAGGTTACTAGTTCTAGTTTTATAAATATAAAAAACATAATTAGGAAACAAGATTCTAATAAAAGTAATCAGACAAGGTTTATTTTTTTTTATTTTTTATTTTTATAAAGATTAATTATCGATAAAGATAATCACACCATTGACATCAAGAAAAAAAAAAGTGTACTAAATTTTATGATGCCACACAAATACCAACATGATGCGCATCTGACGGTCAAAAAGTTGTCAACAGTGAAGAAAAATCATGATATATATAATTGGTCCAAGACGAAGTTCATGCACCAAAAATGTTGAAATGTGAGGACAATGAAAACTTTACTGGGTAATTTTTCATGATTGTGAAGGCAAAGAGGAAGACAATTGAATGCACAACATATGATATTGAGAAGCTCTAGTCAAATTATGACATTTGTATGTTCTTTTGCCTAGTACTTGTTTTCTTTTATTTGATTCATAGCATGTCACATCGTTGATCTATTTTCTGTTTGTTTTCCAAGTTCTAAATAAATCTCTTTGCACCAATCATAGAACAAGAGAAAAACAGCCACATGTGAAGTGGGGAGAAGGACATACATTTATTTACAAGAGTTTACATCAATAGGTTGTATCAAAGGAATAACCAGTGAATATTATATTACTCCATCACAAGGGAATCAATCATGGATGGAGTGCGGAAAATTGGTGATGAGAATATTGAGAATTTCACTCTTCAAATACGTCACGTTATTTGAATTTTGTATGCATGACAAATGACATTTAACACGTAAAGACAGGAATAGTATTCGATACAAGACTTTTTAGCCAATCTTTTGCACTTGGTATAAATGAGTGATAAACCATGATCTCATTTTGGGATGAATTGGAATGAACCAAAAAACACAAGGAGAAAAGTAATATAAGAATTAAAAATGATACACATATAATAAATAAAAAAAATAAAGAAAACGAGGTACGAATTGAATGGAAGAGAATATGTTGAAAATTTTTAGTATATTTTAGTATTGATTTCAAAGCAGCAGCATGTGACGTGAATAGCTTGCTTAATTTCCTTACCCATTGACACTACACAAAGCTCTCTCCAAATGCATGGCTACAAATTGTATAAGCTTGACCCATTGAATTTTAAGTGCCCCTAAATCTGTGGTAAAGACAAAAAGGGTTTGGAAGGATATGAAAGATGCATGAACTCGTGTATTTAGACTCTACCTCATTCCAAATACATTTAGTCATTACCGAAATTTTAATTTTTATTAGAATCTAGGAGATATTGAACTTGTTACTTTGATTTAGGCAAACACCTTATATTAGTTTCTTAAATAGGATAATTGCATAAATCTCTCTAGAGATCTTTTTAAATGACACACATTTTTTATTTAATTTTTAAGTCAACAATAATCTCTTTTATTTATTTATCTAAGTAACACATTCAACCTCTTATATAAGATAATATCATTTGTGTATTATTAATAAAGAATAAATTATTAATACAAGTTTTAACAATCGAATAAGACTTAATCTCTTACTCAATTTTATCTGTCAAATTATATCCTAAATATCATGTATATTGTGATTTAAAAATTATAATAATTACAAGGAACAATTTCAAAGAACGGGTTGAAACATAATTATTTTCAAAATTAAAAAATAAAGAAAATTTTCATGAAGAAGATAAAACATATTGTATGTAATTCAAAAATAAAAAATAAACACATATACAATTGACAAAATACAAATTGACATTTATTTTTCAATTTTTCTCACTTAAATTAATGATAGTATTCTAGAGGTGAGTGATTTTTAAAAAAATAGAAGGGAAGTGTGTGTCATTCAAACATATTTTAGGGAAGGTGAGTGTAATTTTTTCTTCTTAAAATGAGCGAAAGTTATAAGGGTCCTAAAAATTTATAGCATATAAGAAAGTTTTATCATAGTTAAAAGATAGTTGAATCTTCTTAAATATATTGTTGGAGTTTGATATTTTTTTTATAACATTGTTGAGAGACAAAACTATATAGCTTGAGATATGTTATGACTATTCTTCAAATTTATTTGTCTGATATATAGTATAATTTAGGGCACAAAAATATTCTAAGATTCAACACCATTTTTAATTGTAAACTTAGGAAAAATGAAAGAGGAGGATGAAAAATATAGAGTTCACGAGGAAGAAAGTGTTGGTTACTTTCTTAAATGTAAGAGGAGACATGTCTTTCTTCTTAGGAGAATATTTTCAATTTGAAAACACTCATTTTTTCATGTGAAAGTTACTTCTAATGTGGTCTATTATCGGTCTACATTCAACCCATATCAAAAACTCATACGATTTTTGTAGTTAAGTAATAACTCTAGTTAGATGGAGCATGAAGAGAAGTCAGATGGAACACTAAATTTTTTTATACTGATTCATCTCAACCACTAAGACTACATCTAGTTCTCAATCCAATCAGAATAAATTCCATTATCTTT